AGCATGGGGAGGAATCGAGGGAATATTATGAGGTGTATCAGATTCTGAGACTGGGAAAGCGGGACTATTTGAATCTCCTGCATTTATGTTAGTAAATTTAGGGGGACTAGGATAGTAGTTTCCTTCATCATCGGAATTGACGGGATTGAAATATCTATCCATTGTAGTTAAAAAAAAAAAAATTGATATAGAAGAAATACAAAAATTAAAGAAGGAGAATTGGAATTTCGAAATATGAATTGAAAATTGCAAAAACTAATAAAAATTAAAATGAGAACAATTGAGCAAATTGATAAACAAAGAGAATAATTGAGAGATTTCAATAGAATTAGAGATTAGAGAAAATGAGAGAATTTGAGATGTGAGAAAATATGAAAGTTTAGAGCCTATTTATAGAAAAAAAATGGAAAAAATGACGAAAAAGACCTCTCAAACTGCTATAAAACAGTTATATTTCAAGGGTAAAATGGTTATTTGGAAAAAAAATTAATTTTATTTTTTTTATTTTTTTTCAACCAACCCGCCGGGTTGGTGAGTTCTCCCAAAACAAACAAAACAGCAATCCGTCAGGTCGCCGGGTTGCCATATAACAACCCGGCCCGCCCAAGGGTTGCATGCGGGTCAGGTTAGGGTTGACTCGCACTTATAAGGCTGTCCAGCTTGAACCCTCTCTAATGCGGGCCAGGTTAGGGTTGACCCACCTAACCCGACCCATTTTTTCCACCTTTAAACATTGGTGACCAATGGAGCGATATCCAGGGGATTCACCCAGACAATCGAACGTTCAAGCTGTCAAATCCTTTGTTTTATACTGCTAGAGCACAGGGCACTAATCAAAATTTATATTTTGATTTTTTATATATGAAATGCTTGATGTATTCAATAAGAAAAATTTATATGAATAAATGTTCATGTAATAGCCAAATTATTATGGTTAAGTAGACTTCAATTTATTAAATAAATGGCCAAGTCAAATGTTACAACAAATATGATTAAAATATATTTAATAAAAACGTGATTTATGTTATGTTATCTGATAATTACATCTTTACATAATGATTTAAAGATTGATTGAATTATGATACAAATGTTTAAGTGAGCGATAACTTTGGGAGACACATCACTATGAAAATGTAATTAAGTAGAGATAAGAGGTTATTTGACAACTATAAATGGGAATATTGACAAGTAATATGACCTAAAATATAAATTTCAAGGTTATAATATTTGTTAGGGATAAAATATTAGGCCTAAAAATGAAGAGGTGAGACAAATATTTGGTGTTTTATCTAAAATATAAGAAATTTTGGCAAATTCAGTCAAAGGGCCCTATCAGACCCAAAAACAAAGTTCAAGGTTGAAAATTTAAGTAATGGGTCATAGGCCACTTACCTATAATCTGATTTTTTTTTTTTTTTTGGATAAACCAATAATTGCCTCTCTTGCGACTCGAATACAAAATCTCTGAATATAGCTAATTCTGCTGGCTATAGGACTTGTCATCTGACCACAAGGGGAGGGGTCTATAACCTAATACTTGAGGTTAATGCAAAGTAACTTGTATGCTTTGTTTAAGGATAAGTTGGCGGTTGGCTATATTTCACTTTAATTTGATGGTCATATTTCTTTCAAATTGTTTCAATTTTCAAGGAAATTAATTAATAGAACATAATATAACCTATTTTACTCGTTGAAGGAAACTCCTTCTTGAAGAATGAAGAATGAAATCATTAATCTTACTTCTTCTAGCATGTGTTGATGACTTCTTCAAGGAAATTAATTAATAGAAGAAAATTATTAATTTCACTTCTTCAGATATATCTCTTCAAGATTTTCATTGAGGAAAATTAATATAAAGTAATTATTTCGAAATGTTTTATTTCTTCATCATATATAGTTCACAGTATATATATAATAGATATTATGAAAATATTAAAGATAGACAAATAATCCCTATCGAAATGATTTAGTATAACAAATTCAAGTATCACGAACTTTCAAACAAATATGACCAATGATTTAAATTTGAAATAAATATGGATGAATTCATTGACTTACTGTTAGTCTTTAAGGAAGAACCAAGAATGAGCTTTAATGATGCAAGAAAGAATGAATAGACATGGCAACTACTTTTGCTCTTATCCCCTTTGCCTAAACCAATGGAGTGTTTCACACTCAATTAATTAGGCATAAGCACATGCAAACGGAGCCTTCATTTTTGCATTGATTTGTATGAATCTGCCACAACGTACAATAATTTGTATGAACGCGTTTTGTTGGAAACTCGAAACACGTTATCCAATTGAACCAGCAACCATCAGTCCAATTGTATTAATCTGCAACTTGTAAAATTTTGCTAGGAAGGACACCCAGGTTTCAACTTCTTTATGAATTTTGATATTGAATTTGTAATGATCTTGGGATTGTTATTTAATTTTGCTATTGAATTTTTAAATTATAAAGATTTATGTTGAGCATGATGGATCGACAGGGTCGAGCCGGTTCAACCATTCAACCAGGGACCTGATCGTTTGATCAGGTCAAAATATTGGTTCTAACCATCACCTAGTTGGACAAATTATTCTTGAGGAACTGGGTTAGGGCAATTATTTTTATTATTGTTTTGCCATCTTCAAAATATAAGATTAAAAAATAAAGAAAAATAAGACAGAGACTGTTGACTTATAGCTTTGGAAAAATCTATTGTAGACCGAGACAGAGAATGATCAAATATAATCAGTCTTGTCAAGAATTGATATATTGGGGATATTGATACTGTCAAAGTATGCTAAGAGAAGAGATAACAAAAAAATTTATGTATATTTTATATTGTGTAAAACTGTACAATGCTAATTTATACACTTTTTGTAATTGTAAAAATAGAAAACAATAAAAACAATTAAATGTAATAATTCAATCAATCACATAAATTATGGATTGATGAAATTTGTGCATTTCATATTTCGTCACTATCCCTCAAGCTTGTGGTTTATAGGAATTTGTCATGTTTGTCCCGCTACATAATTATGTTTTATTTAATATGGTTATCTCATGTTTTGACTGTAAAAGACATGAAAGCCAGATACCTCGCGTTTCGAGTTTTATAAAATGAATGTGATATGCTTTAAGATTTTCAATATATGTATATATATTATGTGTTGTGTTTTTCATGATGAAACCAAGAGAATGTTTTATGAAAAGTGTATTTAGTAAACAGGTTTTATAAGTTTTACAGATTTTTATACAGCACGTCTCAATCGCTCGAGTCTCATGGGTGCGTCAGAGCTTGTGGGATAGGAAGGATTGGGGCGGGATAGGAAGGGTCGGGGAGGGTTGTGTCAATTTGATTATGAATGGGATTGTTAAGCATGGTAGTCTTGTCTATAATGAAGTAATTATGTAGTTCCTGCTTCACCATCTAAATATACATTTTTCTATTGGCAATTTGAGTGTCATACAGGTAGCAAGATTTGTAATTTAGCCTCATTTTCGAGTTTAATTACCTCCCTTAATGTTGTCTTTTATCTTCATGTGCTGCACTAAAATTTAATTTCAGAAAAGACATAATTAATTTCTCTAATAGAGTTTTTCAATGCGCAAATAATGACCAAACGTGTTATTTGAGCTTCTAGCCTCGACACTTTAGTGTAATAATTTAGCTTGCTATTCTCAATTCAACTGTTGAAGTTTTCTGATTAATGAATTAGATGAAAATGATAAAATGTAAAAAGAGTTATCTCCTTGAAATTCTAATGCCAAAATGATTTGTTAAGATCTGTGTGAGAAATAAACTTAAGAATGTAAATATGAGCCTAAGAATGCAAATCAGAAGATGTCAGAGGCCTAAGAGTCATCCTTTGGTGAATTTTTTCTTGTTCAAGACCTACTCTGCAGGAACCTAAATCGACTCCATTTCCCAATCTTAACAGCAAAATGCCGCAATATAGACCACATATTATACGTTACATTCTAAAATACTGAAGACAATACAGATTATAGTTATTCTAATGCATATACTCTGGCCTCTACAGGTATAAATCTTTTAAAAGATTCATATTTTCTTCTAGTCCTTTGACCATATCTCTCTACTGGATTCATTGAGTGGAAAGCTATTTTATTTTATAAAATTCAGTGTGCTTAAGTAAAATCATTTACCAATTAAGTCTTGTGTAGAAATTATACTTAGTTCCTACAGTTTAATTTAGTTCAATATTGTGCTTAAAGATTGGTAAACTCTTCTAGTTCTTTGTTCATATATCTCTATATTGGAATCCATTTGAGTAGAAAGCTATTTTATTTCAGAAAATCTATTGTGCTTGTGGAAAATCATCGCAAATTAAGTCTTGTGAAAAATTATATTTTATTCCTTTCTCCATCATAAGCACGGCAAATCATTATGAGCTGTCTTGATTATTTTAAATGGCCGAAAGACCTGACTAACTTGTGTGGTGGCTATAACTAAAATATTAAATGAGGAAATTTCATTTTTGTATTGATTTGTATGAATCTGCCGCCACAACGGACAATAATTAAAGGCGAGGCCTGAATCGATTCTTGTGAAATTGCATAGAAAAAACTTGAGCCCATCGGCCATCACGTTTTGTTGAACCAGCAACCATCAGTTCAATTGTCTTAATCTGCAACTTGTAAAATTTTGCTACGAAGGACACTCAGGTTTCAACTTCTTTATGAATTTTGATATTGAATTTGTAATCAGCTGCAAACTTTGATCTTGGGATTGTTATTTAATTTTGCTATTGAATTTTTAAATTATTAAGATTTATACCTGATCGTTTGACCGGGTCAAAATATTGGTTCTAGCCATCACCTAGTTGGACAAATTATCCTTGAGGAACTGGGTTGGGGCAATTAGTTTTATTATTGTTTTGCCATAAGATTAAAAAATAAAGAAAAATAAGACAAAGACTGTTGTCTTATAGCTTTGGAAAAATCTATTGTATACCGAGATAAAGAATGATCAAATTTAATCAGTCTAACTTGAACTTCCCAGCTTGAAAGGATTGTTTATTGGTGAGTGGGGAAGTCGAAGAGTTGCGGTAAACGACGACTCTCAAGTCTTCTTCTTCTTCCCAAGTTTCCTATTCTGTTGTATTATAAGTTATTGTCCTATATAATTATGCAATAAAAGGAGGTACCGGTATATGTTAGAAAAAATATTAAAAATGATCAGAAAAATGTGGGTGATTTGGGTGATGATGCTGTTATGGTGGCCAACAACAAGCTCTAATGTAAAACCTGGTTGCCAAGAAAAGTGTGGGGATGTGAGCGTTCCTTTTCCCTTCGGAATCGACAACCTATACTGCGCCAAAAACGAAAGTTTCTTGCTAAAATGCAACCGTAGTAAAACCCCGGCCACACTGATGTTTGGAGAAAACATTGCAACTCTCAATATTTCAATTGAAGAGGGCATCGTTGTTGCAAGCATTGACTCAGCTATGCGCTGCTACAATGAATCCGGGTTAATGCAGGAGACCATTTTTGATCAAAGTATCGATCTGGGAGGTGGCCTATTTAGGTTCTCAGACACCAGAAACAAGCTCACAGCTTTCGGCTGTGATACTCTGGCCGGAATGGGTGACTGGAATGGGAGCTTTGTGAGTTTCTGTGGCTCCTTTTGCTCAGACAATCGGTCTGTTTCTATGAATATAACTGGAGATTCTTGTTCAGGCATTGGTTGTTGCCAGACTCCACTTCCTAAAAGTCTCAACTCATTAAATATAACTCTCGATACCATAGAAAATCACAAACAATGTTGGAAATTCAATAAGTGTGATTACGCATTTTTAGCGGACGAGAGTTTTGATATTTCAGAGTTTCGACAATCTCTTGAACGACGTCAGATGATGAAATCAAATATTACCATTGAATGGGTAGCTAAAGAAGAGACTTGTGAAGCTGGTAAAAATTCGCCCGATTATGCCTGTGGTCGTGATGCTCGGTGTGTTTATTCCAAAAATGGCCAAGGATATCGTTGCTTATGCAATGAAGGATTTAGGGGAAACCCTTATCTCCCGGAAGGCTGTGAAGGTACGTAAAATTTATGTTAAAATTTTTTATATATAAACAATTATACTTTCTGATCATAATTGGTTTACTGATTAGTCTTATGTAAAATTAATAGACTTTAACGAGTGCGAAGAACCAGAAAATTACCCATGTGAAGGTACTTGCAAGAACACACTGGGGAATTACACATGCAGCTGTCCGCTTGGCATGCGAGGAGATGGTAAAGTCGGTTGTCAAGGATATCGTATACTTACAATTGCTGCTGGTAATATTCTTTTACAAAGTTTCATGCAGTTAATCAATTAGTTTATTATGTATGAGGAATTATTATGTGAAATGATAATCCTCGAATCTTGATATGTTCGTTAAAACCTATTTTGTTTGTTAATGCACACAAAACGAAAACAAGATCCATTTATGGTCTATATATTCAAAAATGTATGTAACTAGTTAGCAGTTTTCATTCCCATGTTCTGAACCCCGGAAGGCGTGCGACTGCGATCGCACAGTTGACATCCTGTGACTGCAATCACGCGATGGGGGGCCAGGTGAGGGTGGGTGGCTGTCAGATGAGGGTAGGGGGTGAGTGGGAGGGGGTCAAAAAGTGGCTAGAAGTAACCGGGGATTTTTAAACAATGGACAAGGGTAATTCGACCCGAAAAAGGCCTCGGGTCTAGGTCCGACTGGTTAAACCAGTCGGGCTGGGCTGGTTTCAGATCACTATTTCATTCATTATTTATGGTCCTCCAATTACTACAAATTGATTTAATTATTTGCATGCAGTTGCTGGAGCAACTATTTTCGTTGTGATTATTGGAGTTCTGGCTTTTATTGCATTCAAACAAAAGAAAAAGGAGAGGAATTTCTTTGAAAATGGGGGTATGATATTGAAGAACCAACGTGTGAGGATCTTTAGTGAAGCGGAGCTAGCAAAAGCTACTAAAAATTATGATACTAGCCAGTTTCTTGGAGAAGGTGCTTATGGTTTTGTTTACAAAGGAGTTTTACCTGACAAGACACAAGTTGCAGTCAAGAAGTCTAAAGAGGTGGACAAGACTCAGATAAATCAAGAATTTCAAAGGGAAATTGGGATTGTTTCACAGATTAACCATAAGAATATAGTCAAGCTCTTGGGTTTGTGTTTGGAGACTAAAGTGCCTATACTGGTATATGAGTTCATCTCTAATGGAACTTTGTCTCATCATATCCACGACAAACGGTCACGACTTCTAAAGACATGGAAGAACCGTCTCAAGATTGCTGCAGAAATTGCGCTCGCACTTGACTACTTCCATTGTTTAGCAAACCCTCCAATAATTCATGGAGATGTCAAGTCAGCTAATATACTCTTGGACGAAAACGGCACAGCGAAAGTATCTGACTTCGGGACTTCAGTGTTAATATCGCCTGGGCAAAACCTCATGGTATCCAAAGTACAGGGCACTTTTGGTTACTTAGATCCTGAATATCTAATGACTGGTATCTTAACAGAAAAGAGTGATGTTTATAGTTTTGGAGTCGTTCTCGTAGAACTTTTAATGGGGATGAAGCCTGGCAGTTGTGTGTCATATGGGAAGAACATTAATATGATTCAATACTTTATGTCATCATTAGAAAACAATAGTCTCAATCAGGTTTTAGGGTTTGAAGTATCTGATGATGATGCTGAAATGGAAGAGATAGAAGAAGTTGCTGAGCTTGCAAAGAGATGCTTGAGTAGTAGCGTCAAAAGGCCTAGTATGCAAGAAGTTGCTGAGGAGCTTGTAAGGCTGAAAAGGCTAAATTACAATTTTTCGGCGCAGCAGAATAATGAAGAGACTGCCAAATTGTTAGGTGAATCGTCATTTTCAAATCTTGAGATTACTCAACAAGACACTCATAGTGTGAACCTATCAGAAATTGACAATTACAGTGATAGTATTTAACATTTATCCAATTTCATGTGTAATTAATAGTATTACATGCTTTTTTTTTTTTTTTTTTTTGTTTATCGGGTGTTCAGGCTAGTTTGCGGTGTCTATTGAACACCCTACAAGTCTAATGGATTAGATAAGTCATAAATATAATAGATGACTATTTTGTGTGACTTAAATATAAAATCTTTGAGTAACCCACAGTTTTGCCATCCGGTCACAAGTCAAGTGGTTATAGTATTATATGGTTTCAATAGTATGTTTAAAAATAAGGCGAGGTCCATAACTCAAACTTTACTTGTATAATGCTATTTCTGCTTAACTCTTACTAGTACGCAATGAAGCATTTATATAGAAATTGAAAGTATTTGTGAGATTTAATTTCTGTAACTTGATTATTTAGATTTTAGAAGAGTTCATTATCATGTTTTGAATTGCTAAATACAAAAATTACTATTAATTATTACCAGATCTTATATGTCTCTCTTTCAATAGGAAACATACAGACATATAGATAAAAGGTATCCTTTTCCAAAAATGTGAAACATATATTATTGATGGGTAAAATGAAAAGTAATCTTGGGGTGTCTACTGGAGCTTGTATCTGACTAATAGTTTTAGTGTCCTGAGGGATTAGTTTAGATGGGTGTAAATTAGTTCGAACACCCCTTATGATTAAAAAAATAAAAAATAAACTGTAATAATAGGAAGACCATAGTCACGGGAAATCAAGATTTGGGGTCACTGGACATGAACTTGAGGCATTGGACACTGGAGTCCATAAAACCGCTTGGGAAAACGTGGTAGAAAAATCGACAAAGGAAAAAGAAGTTTTTGGCTGCCCACAATGTTGCCCTTTAGTAAAAGAGGGAATATAACTTTAGTGAGGAACATGACAAGCCTCCCCATTTCATAGCATAAATGCCTCGGGTGGAATAACATTTGAATAAAGGGGGAGCAACCACCATAATATGGGGCTAGCAATAATGTTAAATCTTTGAGCGCAATTTTTGGGTTCAGGGAAACATCTATAATGGAACAACATTTGAGTTAAAAGCAGAAAGAAGAAGAAAGCTTGTGGAGGAGGATGAACAGGACAATTGGAAACATGGGTGACCAATCGAGCAATCGGACGTTCAAGTTGTCAAATCCTTTGTTTTATACGGCTATATCATAGGGCACTGATCAAAATTTATATTTTGATTTTTTATATATGAATTATGAAATGCATCATGTATTCAATAAGAAAAATTTATATGAATAAATGATCATGTAATAGCCAAATTATTATGGTTAAGTAGACTTCAATTTATTAAATAAATGGCCAAAGTAATGTTAACAACAAATATGATTAAAATATTTAATAAAAACGTGATTTATGTTATGTTATCTGATAATTACATCTTACATAATGATTTAAAAATTGATTGAATTATGATACAAATGTTTAAATGAGTGTAACTTTGGAGACAAGCCACTATGAAAATATAAGTAAACAAGAAGTTATTGACAACCATAAATGGGAATATTGACAAGTAATATGACCTAAAATTAAATATCTAGGTTATAATATTTGTTGGGGATAAATATTAGGCCTAAAAATGAAGAGGTGAGACAATATTTAGTGTTTTATCTAAGATAAAATTTTTGTCAAATTTAGAAAAAGGGCCGTATCAGACCCAAATACAAAGTTCGAGGGGAAAATTTAAGTCATAGGTCAAGGCCACTTACAACTTCACTTTCAAGTTTAAATGATAACCCTATTAATATAATATTTTTTTTTTTTGGATAAACCAGTATTTGCCTCTCCTGCGAATTGAATACAAAACAACTAATCTCACTAGCTAAAGGACTTAAACCATATTAGGTTATAGATCTCTCTCATTTGATCACAGAGAGAGAGATCTATAACCTAATATTTGAGGTTAGCAAATAACTTCTATGCTTTCTTTAAGGATAAGTTGGTGGTTGGCTATAATCACATTAATTAGTAGAATATTTCTTTCAAATTGTTTCAATTTTCAAGGAAATTAATAATAGAACATAAATAACCTATTTTACTCGTTGAAGGAAAACTCCTTTTGAAGAATGAAGAATGAAATCATTAATCGCTTCTTCTAGCATGTGTTGATGACTTTTCAAGAAATTATTAATGGAAGAAAATTATTAATTTCACTCTTCAGATATATCTCTTCAGTTTTATTGAGGAAAATTAATATAAAGTAATTATTTCGAGATGTTTTATTTCTTCATCATATAAGTTCACAGTATATATATAATAGATATTATGAATATTAAGATAGACAATAGTCCTTATCGAAATGATTTAGTATAACAAATTCAAGTATCACGAACTTTCAAAAAATATGACCAATGATTTAATTTGAAATTGTTATGCTGGGGAATCAGGGCTGACGTGGGAAATCACGTGATAAAGTGTGACCTGCTCCCGTCAGAACGGTAAGTGCCACATCAGACCTGCAAGACACCGTAGAGCTCCCACGTGTCAACTCTTGCTCCAAATCGCGTGAAATCAGCTTGGAAGGAGGATAATGTGACGTAAAGCCAGATTTAGTCCTGACATTCACACCAACCCATGGATTAATGATGATACTTGCATTCATCTCACTATAAAAAAGGAAGAACCCCTTCATTAAGGGGATTCGGCTATTTTTTGCACTCTGAACTACTCTCTCTCTTGTAAACTTTGTATTTATTTTTCCCTAATCATTTGTAAGTCAGTTCGCTGTGCAACCTGACCCACAATACTAATACAAGTTAGTGGACATAGGACTTGCTACCTTGCATCGAACACTTTAAAAGCTCTCATTGCATTTATTCTACATTCTATCTATAATCACGTGTGTCTCTTGACCAATCAACGTTACGCACGTGTCCATTAATTGTGTTAAATTCCCAAATCAACAGTTGACGCTAGAAGGAGGGCCCATATTTACTGTATCCTTCATCAGGAGAATCTCTAACTACTGGTCCTACAGCCGCAAATAGCCCGCCCAATTTGAACTTGAGGCGAGCCAACCAGAGCGCTGAGGGAATCCCCCTGACCCAAGGGGATACCCTTCCAGAATACTTCCAGTTCCGCAAAATGTCACGGTAGATATCCAGCAGCTTCGTAGCTTGACCCTGCCATCAGAAGCTACCTGGAGAGGTTCGACAACACCCTTCAGACGGTCAACAAAGGCGGACCGTTTGGACCAGGCGTGCCATCCAGAATAGTTGGGCAGTGCAACCGCTAAAAACGCCTGCGATCATGCGAAAGCGCAGCAAAGGGAATAAGCCGTGCTGCGAGCACTGCAGCGGTAGATGTAAGGGTAAGCAAGTGGCAAAAAGCAGCTACGGGCTCCAAAGGGCCAGCGAACATAAGCCATGCCCCAAGCAGGGTGCCGGCAAGAGCTGAGACTTGGCGAAAAAGTGAATCCTGAGTTGTCCCAGCCACATCGCAGATGAACCAAGCAAAAGTGCCGAGCGGGACGATTCTTATCACCACCAGCAAGCGCGATCCCGATCGCTATCATGCGGGTGGTCCCCAACCTCGTGGGGCGGTTCATACCACCGCGAGGGTCGTGAAAATACCCACACACCATCCATCACCTTCACATGCCTCTAGTCAGCGTGTGCCGGAGCGACGGCCGAAAATGTCGGCCAGGTGAAGAGGAGTCCGACCTCCGGACTTTCTGAACCGTAATCGAGAAGGTCGGACTTACATGGGTGAAAGCAATCCCCAATTGGCTCCGTTACCACAAATTGAGGAGATGCAGCAAGCTCTGGACAGGCTGAGAGAGCAACAAAATGAGCAGGCCCCGGTCGCCTTTGCATCCCCTTCTCTCCCGAAGTGTAGCTGCTCCACTCCACCAGGATTCAGATGCCGACTGCGGTCGTTTTGATGGGAACCATGACCATAGGGTCATTTGTATGAGTTCAACGACCTGATGGAGCTCCAAGGTTGCAGATCTTGCAAAATGTCGTTGTTTGGCGTGATGCTGACTTCTCATGCCAAGCAGTGGTTAAGGTCGCTCCCAGCGGGATCAATCAGTTCGTGGCCTCAGATGAGCACGACGTTCCTATGGCATTTCAAGCAAATCGAAAATTTTCGATGCCTTTGAGCTATCTCAGCAACATAAGGCAAGAAAGGGACGAATCCCTACAATCCTACATTCCACAGGGAACTAACAAGGTAGCTCATGCCCCCAAAGAGTCCATCCGAATGCTCATAAGTTGGAGTTCGCCCGCAAACCGACCTGTGGAAAGAATTACAGGCGGAGGACAATGTTTCCCTCACTAGATTTTACAACCTTGCAGAAAAATACCTCCAAATAGAGAATATTGGCGGCACTCCACCGTGTGGTCACGGCACTTCGAGTAGTATGTCCGGTCGGGAGAAAGTAGGAGTAGGCGATGTCGCAAAGGAGACATTGATGATCAGCGAGTAGGGAAGAAACCCCGCTACGAGCACAAAAAGTCCTATGCTCATGTTCCTCGTCCGACCGCGTAGAATTCAATACACTCCGCTGAATATGTCCATATCTGCAATTCTTGACAAATCCGAGGAGGCCAGCCTGCCGTGTGAGCTGGAACCCATGGAAACCCCCGCTATGGCTAGAAACAGCAAAAAGTACTGCCTTCCATCGGGATAACGGGCATCACACTGATGAATGCCGAGCTCTAAAGCAGGCAATCGAAGAGCTCATCAAGAAAGGGCACTTCAAGGAGTATATTGATGACTCAGCTCCAAAAGAGAAACAAGAGGAGCGAAAGAAAAAGCGTCGTGATCGCAGTGGATACAGTAGTGTTAACATAATCTTCGGAGGCCCGCAGCTCGTGGGAAACATGCGAGGTGCGCAGGAAAGGTATGCTCGCGAAGCAATATCACGCCCGATCAGGGTAATGAACACATCGCAGCAACCACAAAAGGCCGAAAGGAGGAGCCGATCACCTTCTGTGAAAAGAAGCAGCTCGCCGCACCATCTTCACGACGACGCCCTGGTGATCACGCCCATAGGGTGCCATAACGTCTGCAGAAGATTGTGGGCAACGGAAACGCTGTGAACATCCTGTTCTAAACCGCTTTCGAAAGAATAAACCTGGACGAGGCCGACCTGAAGCCCGCCTCATCCCTCTCTATGGCTTTACAGGAGACCACCTGATCCCAAAGGAACGATCCAGCTCCCAGTCACGCTCGGTGACTACGCGAGGTAACTAGGCTTACTGAATTCTTGGTTGTGGATTGCCCATTGGCCTTCAATGGAATCTTGGGGCGACCTCGTTGAGAAGCTTCAAGGCAGTCATTTCCATATACACCTCAAGATGAAG